ATCAAACTGCACAATATTAACGCAGAGATCCTTTGCTGTAACAGATTCAGAAGTATTTCATATAATTCAGAGAGCTAAACCTGATAATAGTCTAGATTTCTGTTTTACAGGCAAATAAAGATAACATAAAGCCGTAATTTACCAAAAGACACGCTGCAAAGTCAAGTAGAAGTGAGATTTCAGATCATTTGTTTTCCAGTCCTGCCTTAAAAATACAATATGCTCATTTTTCTACTTAAAAACATTTATGAAAAACATTGCCAAAATTACTCATAATGGTTTTTTTTAATCATTTTTAGTTAAAACTACAGTTTTAAACCAGAAAAATCAGAGTAAGAGTTTAAGCATTTAAGCAACTACAATTCCTATACTGTCAGTTTCATAAAACATACACGACTCATGGAGAGCTAGCACAGTTACAGCCCTGCTATAAATGCACCGAAAGGGGGAAGCAAAAGATACAATGCAGTAAATGTGGACATCCCATGTCAGGTCATTCTGCTGGAAAAAAGAAGTCTTGTTCAAAATGCAACCGATAGCTGAAATAAAGCACTGTGCTACATATTGTATCTAGCTCTATATAAAATCTACCAAAGCCTGATTATCTATTCTGTCTTTATACCTGACTCCCACTACATGAACTTTTCCTGCTACTTTTCAAGGAATGTCCAAAGGCCACATTAACTGATACATGTGGGCTATCATTTTGCATTGAATTCTCCCTAAATACAATAAATTCATTGAATTCTCCCTAAATTAAATACATAAGGAAATACTTCATATCCACAGCCATTTATTTCCTTTTATTTCCTAAGACAAAAAAAGATACTAAGTTCCAAGGAGATATTTAACCACAATTGTTGGTACACCTGAGATGCTTTATTCACAGCATTAAGAACAGAGGTATAATCTCAAACATATCAGCCTTCATTTGACTGAAATTCTTCCTTCTCCATGGAGTCAAGAAAGGAAATACTTCATATCCACAGCCATTTATTTCCTTTTATTTCCTAAGACAAAAAAAGATACTAAGTTCCAAGGAGATATTTAACCACAATTGTTGGTACACCTGAGATGCTTTATTCACAGCATTAAGAACAGAGGTATAATCTCAAACATATCAGCCTTCATTTGACTGAAATTCTTCCTTCTCCATGGAGTCAAGATGCTTTGCTGCACTACAGCCCTGGAAATAGTACAAGCAGTAGATCCAACACAAGGTTTTTGTAGTATGTAATGAGTTGGCCCATAGTCTCCTACCCTGAGCCATTCAGTAGTAGCTGAAGGGAAGTAGTTCACAGCAAGGCCTTTCACTCTCTCCCAAAATCTTGTCCATTGTTAGTGGTGTAGTGGCCAGATCCAGAATCACCAAAAATGGCCACATAACACCATCATGTTAGCATCTGCCTATCTATTTTTATGCCTGGACAGCAAAAGGAGGGAAATGCTAGAGATACATTAGTTTCCAGACTACAAATAAATTAGTTTGCAGCCTTATGAATAATCATATCCATTATGATCCCTTAGAAGACTAGGTGTGTGGATTGACAAGTTATGCATTGCTGGACCTTATTAATTAGACAGAAACCTAAACTCACAGATCTGTGCATGAATAAACCTAAGTTCAGCCTCTAAAAAGTCTTGTTGTAAAATCTAAAGGGTAGCCTACTAGAAAAAGAATAATTAATAAAACCAGAGTAGAAAGAGCACAAAGTCACATAATTTAACAGATTTAATAAGCTCTCCCTACCTCTACTTTCAAGTTCATACTGCATTTTTTGGACTCAAACTGCCAGTGTGATGCTAAGTGATATTTTTTAAGGAATTGCTAGACTACCTCTTTTTCAGCAACCTCCTCCCATGCTGATACTTCACTACAGAGAGCGTGTATTTACCTTACCACAGAAAAGCACTAAGTCTGAAGCAATGTTATGCTGTACTCCGATGGGAGTCCTTACAACCCAAGACAAACAAGCTGACAGTCAGTCTTCGATAGAAACTCAACATATTCTTTCATAGCACGAATAATATTCTCCCCCACTACAAGCAGGAAACAGCTCAATATTAGGTAAAACCTAAAAATAAATCCTGAAGGAAACATGTAAAGACTTCCAGTAAGGCACACTTAAGAACTGACTAAACCTACCTATCTAGTCTTATAAGAGTCTATGAGTCTGCCTATCTATCATCTGTTGACTGATGTATCTACTTATTTGTCAGATTCAGACATCAGATTATAGTATATTTCTTGGGTAAAAGGATCTGTGCAACACTAAATACTATATCACCAGATTTAATAAATTATAGAAGACAATAAAGACAACAAAGGAGTGCCCACAAGTGTTAAAGTAATTAAGTTCACTCTGTATTGGGGAAAGATTCTCCCTCCTATAAAAGATGCCATGAATTTGATCAAACTGCCTAATTTTGAAATTCAAATAATTTTATATGCATGGTACTGTTATCTGTAAAGCATGGTGAAATACCAGAGCCAACTGATCAGCAGTGTAATACAATAGGCTGCAGTGATTACGCCACAGGTCTTTTCATTGCAGAGCTACAAAGATATGACATACGCTTCAAAAGTTTCCGCAAGCAGCAGGAAGTTTTGCATCTAGAAAAAGAATGAACAGTCATCGGATTCACACTGCAGACACCAGCCTGAATTTTCTATGGGCATCTTCAGCTTTACACAATGAAAAACATTCCACACTTATTTACAATGAATATTTTCTAAGAAATTCAGACAACCCAAATGCTAACATAGTCTCACATAATATTGTACTTGCTAAGTCTTCACTAGTCATAGAAAAAAATCAGAAAGAAACAAAGTTCAGAGCTCATATGCCTTGTAGACCCGTTTGAAAAGTACCTAGCTGCAATAAGGACGAGTTTCGACTCGTGTTCGACTCCCTGCTGTGAGCACCTATGGTCTACAGACTTCCTGTTTTCTCTATTACCTTGAGATTACAGCTACAGATCCTGCGTTTGATAAAGACCCTGTAAGGCAGAAGTACTAGAACAACTCACACTGTGAAGGGCAAGCTGCAGACAAAACCCTACAAATAGCAACTGCTGGTACACCAGCTGATGCACTTGCCCTTTACCGAGAGCTGTGTCTAAACCCACAGGTTACTGCACAATGTATGACCACATATATCACTACTATAGCAGGCTTTGCAACAAATTTTCTCCACAAATATAGAACAAATGACAGTGAATGCTTCTCAAAAAAAGGGATTATCAGGGTTTATTTACTTTGGCTTTTATATTTATATTATATATTTATAACTCCAGTGCATATTTTAGTTTACAAAACATCGTACAGACATTTTATCCTATGTAAATATTTCTCAATACTAACATTAATTATTAATAATTATTCTTACCTAGAATAATAATTTAAAATAAAATTTATTTGCTTCTTAAACTTCTAAACCTCTTGCAAATACACAAAGTCAAAAGTGGTAAGATACCATTTTTTTAGTACAGAGAATTATCTACAAGGAATTTAAGAAGCAGATTAGGTTGGATAAACAAGGTATAAATCAAAATTTAACATGCTAACACTTGTTACTCTATGTCAAACTCACCTTTTGGCTTATCTAAAATCTCTTCCCTTTCAGTGAATGTGTTTAAACATGATTATAAATAGTCAATAGACTAATTTATAATTTTAAAGGTGAAGATATTGTCTCAGAAAACAGGAAATAAATCCCTGGTTTTCTTACAGTTTTCAACATGCATTGGAGTCTGCAAGTCTATACTTTCAGTAAAATCTTTTACTTATGTCTTGTAATTCCAACAGCCTACTTAACTCCCATTGAGAGATTTGCCATATTAATGCATATTAAACAAACCAACTGCAGTAAACTTATAAAAGATTTAAACTCTGATCACAGTTGCACAGATAAAACTTAAAAGCAATATAAATGCAACTATCAGCCAGTATGTACAGAAAAGTGTATGAGAAAGGCTCTGAAGAATGAAGCACAATTTGCAGTACAAACTTCCAGAAGGAAAGGAGTACACAGAAGCATTCTGAAGAATGGTGCAGTGATCTAATCTTTCAGCCTGCACTAACTTGTTCATCAGAACTTCATTTTTATTAGCTCGTTTTCTGTTCCTGAAGCACATACGTCCAATGATCTGGCATATAGCAGAACATGTTATGAAACACAGAGCGTCCCTGAATTAGCAAAGTAAGTTTTAAAGAAATAACCTTTTAAATATAACATTACTACATTATTTGAAAAATACAGGTACAAATTCTATAGAGTTACATAGGATTTAAAGGTAATTTCTTTGCTAATCTCCTAATTTCTGGCATTCTTTCCTGAAATATAGGATTTTCTCAAAGTACTTAAGAGGAGTCAAACAGTCAAATATAACAAAAGTACATGATACGTGCAGCAAAGCTGACTTATCAAGAACCAGACTACTACAGATCTCTCAAATACATGACTTCTCTAGAAGAAATCCCCTTATAATACACCGTTATTTTAAATCCATATTGATAAAAGCTTAACTGAAGGAGCAGAGCACCCTCATATGTAACAGACAGAGGACAAAAGGCAGAGGAATAGTTTTGTTTCATTTTTTAAATAGGATTAAAACCAACCAAACAACAAATCTCCAACATAGTCCAAATTACAGCTTTTGAAATTAAAATGACCTCACACAGCCAGAAAGGTGTAGCACTGCTGAAATTTGACAGCTATAAGCCAGAAGAATGAATGCTGGAATATGTACAGCTCAAATCTTCATAACAAAGCAATCACCTTTAATATAGAAAAGCCTATCTCAGAAGAGCAATTACACAAATTTAGGAAGAAGAGATTGCACTAAGAACTTTGTTGCTTGCTGTGTTAGAAGGTACAGTCATATTTATTCAGGAATAACAATAACACAACTGATACCATCGCATTGCTATCAAGCATACACTGTCATCTGAGTAACTAAAAAAGACAAAAAGTAGACTAAAAAACAGAAAAGCTCACCACTTCTTCATGCCTGCATTTTCTGACATTAATTCCATTAATCTGTTATTAAAAAGATAAAGAGAAGACTTACTCTACATTTCATAAGTACAGATTTCATTTCACTTTTCTAGAAAATGTTACAAAATAATTTGCAATTTTACTCACCTGTAGAATTGCATCTCCTATAAAGAGCAAACCTGAAAGTTCCGCTGAAAACAGAAAGCATATTTTTCACTCATTTTGTACAAAAACATCCTAGATTTTTGTGTATGTGTATTCTTCTTTAAAGTTTTTACATAATCTTTTAAAATTTAAAAGAAAGCCCTAATGAAAAGCCTGACATAAAACTTCCAAATAAATTATTTGTATTTTCTTTTTTAAACCCAAAATACTGGCATATCAGTGCTACAATGATAGAGTCTATCCAGCCCAAGTGCAAAACTATGAAACATCTTACATCAGTCACTAGCACCTTCCAGGCCATTATGGTGAGGTATGGAATACTTTTCAGAATAGAAAATGAGAAAATAGCAACATGGGGACTCCAGAGCTACTAATGAAGGAGAAATTTAAATTGTAAGTTTTTACTGAAGGCAGAAGATATTTTAGATACCGAATCTTTGATAAACACTGATAAGTAACATGGAGTATTCATGCTGGATATCACTTCATATGCTGAAGAACTAGAAAATCAGTATATTGTACAAAATTACCAGCCAAACCAAATTTGATTTTTAAAACAAAGCTGTATCACAAAGACAGTTACAAAATCTAATTCCACAGCTGAAATTTTAGATATCATGTTGTTTCAGAGCTAACTGATGTAAATATACTTTATAAAAATACCAGAAATATATCAAAGACTATTTGTCTATAAATAAATTAATTACCCCCAACATTAGAATTAAGGAATGTTCACAGATTATTTACCTATAGCATTCATATCATCACAGCAGATACTGTCTGGAAAAGACTAGAATTGGACTTCATCAAAAAACTTATTTAAATGAGTCGTAAAACTGGACTCAATATTGACACAAATTACGATAATCAAGTACACGTTTGAAGGACTGTCCCTACTAGCTATATGTAACAAAGAATGTTTAAACTATTGCAGGATAGACATTCTAATTTTTTTAAATGATGTTTTTTCTTAAATAAATACACATCTCAATATTCTTCAGACTTCCTTTTACTCACACTTCATATATTACCTATTGTGCTAGCCTAAGCACCTTATGTCTATCACTGTTTTTAAGAGTTCCATCAAATATCAGATTCTTGTTTAGAGGTCCAAAGAAAAAGTTCAAGTTCATTGGGCGGAGGGAAGAACCAAGCCTACAAAGTTTTGAGGTATAGGCTTTGGGTGAAACAGCATTTTACCTAAGCATTGTATCAAAGTTTCCTAGTACAGGCACACAGCATGATACTTCCTGCATCACAAGACAGTAGTCTCCCACGCAAGAGATGTCCCTCAAAACTAGCTCCCTGAAAATCAGCAGTATTATATCTCAGCCAGGTATTGAAGCTAGAAATAATGCATCAGCTACTGCAGCAAAAAAATAATGACAAAAATAAAATTGTGCACTTGTGTGCTCAATTAAACTAAAGTCTATCTTTCTTATTTTTCCTGCAGTGCTTAATAGCATTTTAATAGCTACGGTAGGTAATATATGCCACATTATGTATTACCTACTTGTATGCATACTGAAAAGAACAGTGGCACAAGTATATCTTCTTAAGGTTAACCTCATTGCCTTCCTTAGGGGCTCATTCCATCCTATTCCATAGCCTCCCTACATACAGCTTTCACATCTACCTTTCAAGGGTTGGCTTTCTGCTCTCAGCATGCTGATTCTTCCATACCTCCCTCTGTCTGTGTGGGTGAATGAGATTTTTTTATACTGGCACATATTAATTGTGCAGAAGCAGTGTCCTAGAATTTTTACAATGCAGATGGAGGGAAATGCTTCCAAGTTTACATTTCTGTCCTTACACAAATGTACACAAATACACACAAACATAACAGAGATATTAAATACACCATATTAGTACCAATTCTCAGCCTTCCTCTCTCATAATTGAGAACATCTTCAGCTGTTTAACTATTATCCATGTTCCTAGTCCATATATCATTCCTATAATTTCAAAACATTGCCAGTTAAAAACAATACAGAGATTCAGCACCATCTCTGTATTACAAATTAATATGGTTAAGACTTTATGCAGTAACAGTTTTGCTACATATGAGTTGCTGCAAAGGCTTACACAGCTCAGCATCTAATGCTGAAATAACATAGGGGCATTATCAAGGTTCTGCCATTAGCCACCTCTGTCTCAGTACCACCCTACTAACAAGTTTCAAAACTCATGCATTCTCCTCCTGTGTTACCATGATTTAATAGTAAAACATTGATTTGCTACAGCTCCTGGAAAATAACTATTGGGAAATGAAAGCCACAAAATCATTAACTTTCATTAAATTTGTTAGACATTTTCATTCTATAATACCTTCCTATTGCTCTCCTTAAAAACAATGCTCTACAAGAACCTTTAAAAAAAAGTAGAAGAGTTTATAAAATATTTCAAATATTAATTTGTACTTTTTCATAGAATGGTTCTGAGGAAAAGAAAGACCATAATGATATAGGAGAGAAAGCGTACAACAGTAGCGTTTGCTTAACACTCAAAGTCAAAACTTCGTACATTGCTTTAAGGGCCACATCAAGACAGCATACTAAGCTGATACCCACCTCTTTGTTCTTTGGAAATCTTAGAAATGACCACTGGAATATTATGTTCTGCCCCACCCTGAAAAAAAGAATCAACAGCAATCTTGTCAGTCACTGGAAATATCTTTTCGCTTAAAATTATATTTTAGCCTTTCTCTAATGCAGTTTTTACAGAGATTGAGAAAATAACTCTGATTCTGCATTTCCTTTTTTTTTTAAATAAAGTACTTGATTGTGGTTAATTCCTTATTGCATCTCATTTCTCACTTGCCATCCTTAGCTCAGGAAGTGAATTCAAAACTCTGCAAGACTTGAAGAAAAAGGACATCAGTTTCTCTGAATTCTGGAGACTTCAGTGTATGAAATTGTGTCCTGCAAAAGTAGAATGGCCATCCCACTACAATTGCAACCATGCTGTGACCACTTATTTATCACGCTGGCAAGAAACAGGTAAACAAAAGCACAGGAAAGAAGGCTTGGACTTTTCATCTCAAAAGCAGCATTTATTTGTTTCCGTCTCTATCACACAAGCACAAAGAGTGAGGACAGCAGTGGCATAAGTAACAAGGAACAGAAAAAGCACCATTAAGAAACGGAACAGTAAGTGTTCAATAAATGTGGAGAAATAAAGAAAAACTAGACGATAATTCAACAGTTCGACAACAGTTCAATGCTGTTGCTTCATTCAATTTATCCTGTTGGGACTGGAAACATTTATGGTTCTTAAGAATAAAGTAATAAAAATAGATCATAAATAAAAAGGAAATTCAAAGGAAAGCAAAGACAAATACACAGGCACGCAAATATTTTTTTTCCTCTGCACAGAGCATCAAAATGTAAGCTTGAATGCATCCTGTACAAATTCAGATGATCAGAAACTACAGTCTGCCACACTATCCTTTTGCCTAGGTATCCTGGTTAAAGACCTAAAGGTTTGCTTACCCTTCTCTTAAGTAGCCAGATTTTACTTTGGAAACAATGGCTTTCTTAGGTCCAGGCATTCAGTGTCAAGGTATGCAAAGGACTGACATGAGTAATTTGATGGTCTAAGGAACAGCACACATCCCTTTTTCATGCAATAACCAATTGTTTGAAACTGAACAGACTCCTGTACTCAGCACCTATTTCTGTCATGGAATAAAGATTAACTTCCTGTGAAACCACAGAATTTCAAAAAGGATTAATGCTCTTTCTGCTAGTGACTATTAACGCAAATGGTCCTAAAAACATTGAGTTAACAGGGAACTCAGTAATATTACAACAATTATGCATCTACAGGAAAAATTCTACTGGCATTGCACAAGATGAGTGTTGACGAGCACAGAGTATTGGTATTTGTAGCATGGACTGAGTATTCACTCCACAAAGACCATGAGGCTACCTTCATTTAAGTCAGGCTGAGAGATGTATTCACACTAATTAAATTGTAGCATTATAGCTTGTTGAATATCTTTCTGTAGTTTTCACCAGAGGAACAGCAACAGTAAAACTTGGCTTTGATAAATCTTAATCTACACTCTCCAGACTTTTTAGTCGCACGCACATTTAATTTGTTCCAAATTTTTCAAACAAACAGAAAAATAATTGTGATTTTTCTTCCTAAGCTTCCGGTGTTACACAGCTGTTGCACTATCCAAGATATTTAAAGCCCTGCAAAGAAGTGTAGGATTTAAAGCTCAGCATAGCTAACATAGGTCCCTTTTTCTCAGTAAAATGGCCTCGCTCACTCTTTAGACTCAAGTCTCCACTAAAGAGGGAAATTACTGTCATTACTAAGCCAGCCTGCAATGTACACAACATGATTATTCCTCTCTCATTTTATTGTATGTACGTAAATCCATTTACACGGCACATCTGAAGAAGCTTTCAGTATTATCCTACTGAAGAAATTTCTCTCCTCTCAATGCATCCCAGTCTGACCAGTATGAAGGTTTCTTTTTAAATTAGTCATGGGAGGTATCACCTGCTACTCTCAGAAACAAAAAATCACAATGGGAAACAGAAAATAGCTGATGACCTATCTATACCCAGTCACTTAGCAATTTGCAGCAAGCTGTATATATTCTGCCAACATCTTGTTGAATACTACTTCACAGTGACACTGCAGCCTTGCATCCTGCATTCTCCATACTTGATTCTCTGTCCTGTAAAGTAAAAAGTGCATGCATGTCTAAATTCTAGTTTTATAGACTCAGGAGATACACTTCTGAAGAAATCCCTACGAAAGGAGGTGACCTTTCTGTTGCTTTAAATTTTCCCTCCCTATAGTATGGACATGCAGTTATAGCTTCAGACAAGAGAAGGGACAAAAATACATCAAGTAATGGTGTTGAAGACTTAATGACCCAGACTTCTACCAGAATCTAACATTGATCTTTGTCACACGAATTTTGTCATTTTTCCTCAAGCAGGAAAGGATAAACCTGGAATAATGGTAGCTGCCCACCCGCAGAGGTGGTCCTTCTAGAACAGGCAGAGTAAGCTCTAATCAGTGGCAGCTGTTTGAAGCTTACTGTCCTGGATGTTGGCCACTAGTGGTGAGAGGTCACCCACACCACTTTTCAAAGTGTCACATGACACACTCCTAAAGATTTTTGCGTGTGAGGTATTTTTTTTTCCAGAAGATTTTGCCATATGAAAAATAGGTCAATTGAAACTAGTATCTTTTATTGACAAAGGCTGGTTTTGTGTTTGGCTCTAAGTAAAATGAGAAAATTAGGTCTGTTTTTTTTTCTAAACAGAGAGAGTTTATAAAAAATTAGACCAACTGTTGGTAATTACCATCATCAGGGCTAGACAATGTTGGAGATGTTTTTACTTAATACTAAAAGGCCGCATTTCCAGTAATGAAAGTAGTTTTAAGGTCTATGTCCACTAGATTATTTGATCAAATCAAACTGAAATGTGAAAGAATCTCAGCAGACCACAGGATCATAGAACCATAGAATTTTAGGGGTTGGAATGGACCTTACAGATTACCTAGTACCAACCCTCCCTGCCATGGGACACCTCCCCACTAGACCAGGTTGCTCAAGGCCTCATCCAGCCTGGATTTGAACATTGCCAGGGTTGGGGCAGCCACCACATCCCTGGGCAACCTGTTCCAGTGTCTCACCACCCTCACAGTAACAAACCTTTTTCTAATATCTATTCCCCTCCTTCAATTTGAACCCATTAGTCCTTGTCCTATCACTGCACTTCCTAATGAAGAGTCCCTCTCCGGCTCCCTTGTAGGCCTGTGTAGAACTGTGATGCTATTCATCATTTAAAAGGAATGATCAAAACAGAGACAGGAAAATGGCACTGTACTGATTGCTGGTAGCCAGGAGTCAGACTGTAACCACAAACCTTAATTTGTTGAATGAACTATTGATTTTGTTGCCTATTTCTGCAAGAACACTACACTCCAATTATTGAAAAACATGATGTTCTTTCAGAAGTCATACACTTAGCAGCATCTTTTGTCAAAGCTCTGCATCTTGAAGTTGTCAAGAGATGTGATAAATGACTGAAATACTACACTATGCTTACCAAATTCTACATCTACCTCTACAGGTATTCCTTCACACACAAACATTTATTGAGAGGCTTCAGAAATGAGAAAATAATTTCTTCAGAAGAGTGTAAAACAGCTAAGTCCTGCTTCAAATTCAATCACAGTTTTACAATCAACTTCAGTAAAATGAAGCATAGTAAAAGAGAAGGTTTTCAAACCTTGTAAGACTGGACTATAAGCGATTTTTTAAAGGGCTGAAGTTTGAATCTTGTGCAAGAGTCAATCTCACAAGCAGGCATTTCAAAGCAGTTAGCTGAATCTCTGATTTATAGTTGGAGCACCCAGGTTCTACGAGAAGAGAGTTTCCCACATAGATAAGCCAAAAAAATAATTAATAGTTTTATTATGGAATTATTAACAATTTGACATCTGCTCTTCAAAAAAAAAATAATTCCAAGGATCCAAAATACTTAAGGTGAGATAAGACACTTCCAAAATTTACTCAGGAGAAAGTTAAAAAGTACTTGATCATGTGAGATTTCTGACAGCAAATGGGTGTTTAAGTTAGCAGTCAAAAGACATGATTATGCCCTAGAGCTGAATGCTGAAACTAGACAAATTCATAACAAACCACAAGCAAGTATTTTAATGTGCATGTCATTGATCACTGCACTGCTGCAATTATCACCTCAGATAAACTGCATCCTCTGATATATACTACAGCCAGAAAGTAAGTCCTCAGATAACCCCCATCTTTAAATGGTCTGAGAGTAGCAAGACAGCAGGAACTACTATAGTTCCATATAAACTATATGAGACAGCATATATACTATATGGGGCTGTAAGAGTTACTGACACAGGGTGGAGAGGCCTCAGTCCTCCTCAGTCCTACAGCGTGACTTGTAGACCTCTGCTTTCAGGCACAGTTGCAAAATAATTACATTTCTATTTAAAACTAGCAACAAATATAAGTTAGTTATTAAAGTTCAGGAATCTTCTGAAGCAAAACAAATCAAAGTAGCAAACATTTACTCATCTGCAAGAGGAAGCACACCATGATTGAACAGCATTCATTTTTCAGAGAATTTGGAACTGACACTAATACTTCATGCCGTACCTAAAAAGTCCACTTCAATGGGACTTCTTGCCTACCAAACCGCAAAAAAAATACTTTCCAGTCCAGTTCTAAGTTGTTTCTTACAACTATTTTAAAATTAGAATCACAGATTATATTGATTAGTTGGTTTAGATTGTGTTAGCTATCCAGTTGCTTGTTAATCTTTCTTTGTGAGAATGCAGACTTCCTAATAAAGGGATCTAGCAAAAAAAGTCCCATATTCATTTTTATAAAATAAATAATTTTGAAGTAATAAATCATACTATGTGATACACATTGACAGTATATCCTAGACCACAGAATTCAACTCACCATTTTCATTATCTAATCTATGACATCCAAGTGTGAGTTTCCTTGGTTGAAAGAGATCTCTTTTCTTTTAAAATTAAAAATTAATTAAGAATTGTCTATTCCCGCCTGAATTTATGTAGCTTTACCTTTCCACTACTTCGATTAATTTTAATCAAACTATGAAATAAAATAATCCTAGAAAACGGATATCTTGCTCTAAAACTTTTAGAATATCTTGCTCCACTAATTTAAGCAAGACCATTGCATAGTCACTACATTTATATTTCTCAATTATATTTTATTTTATACCATGTACATAATAGTAAAATAATGTGATCTTGAGATTGTCAGCAATTTTACTTCTAAATGATAACCCATTGTAATGCATAACTAAAAATCAAGTATTGCATTACTACATCATTACTCAGTGAACTGCAACCTATAATGATACTGGACAAAAAAACTCATGTTCTGTTGACCAAACTGATGAGAAACTTTTGTGACAAAATAGCAATTAGTTTCCCTTGAATGGAGGTCTTCATGGGTCAAGGAGATAACAGTAAGCATACCAAGACATATTCAAAAACTATTTCTATTCAGCAATATTCTCATCAATGACAACACAAATGCACATTAATCCCTCTTCTGAGTCACTTATAAGGTCAGTACTAGCAGATGGTCACAGGAAAATCTATATTTTCACTTTATATGCACAATTTAAGCCTCTTTGCATTCATGTGAAGTACACTTCATTTTTCCAATTGCTATCTTGAGTCTGAGGACTGCTGTGTTTAGAAGATATAAAATTAATCTTGTGTTGTCTATACTCAGATTCAAAGCAAAAGTAAGGTTTTCAAAATCATAGATTATGATGACAAAATTATTAACCCACTTCTTCCCTCTCCTCATCCCTCCTTCTCTCAAAAGGTTCTCCTACACTTCTTAAATCTTACTGAAGAAAGAAAAACGAGGTAACATGGTAAATTGCTATCTTTGCTTGATCTACACCAAAATAAACAATATGAACAAGCAATAACACTTTCCGCCCTACTAATGAACTGCAGTGAATTAATGCAATATTCTTTGTAGAAGTATTGATGATGAACTTATTGGCTGTTACACGTGCCTGCCACTGTAATTTAGCATTCATTAATAACTACTTAGAGTGCTGTTGAACAAAAGTACAGTCCATACATTTGCAAACGCATCTTGACTCCCATATCAAATCTTGTTACAGAGTTGGTCAGCTTGAATCTTAAGGAAATGATCTTTCCATTGCTTTTCATTCCATATTGCAGTATAGTTGTTGGTTGCCTACTGTGACAGTAGCTAATATACTAGAACGTGTTTGATCTCTTGTTTCCGGTCCTCTAACATTGACTATATACAAAGACATCTTTTGTGTAACGGAGTATAATAGGCAAAATTCCCATCCTACCTTTATACTTAATCCAAATCCTCCCACAGTCTGTCTTCTAATTGTTACTGTTCTTTCCTGAAAAAAATAAAAAAACAAGTTTTGCTAGATTTAATGTTTTCTTCTAGAACAACTATATTCATACTTCAGTAAGTTGTTTCTGTGCCTCCATCCAACATTGATTTTTCTTGCTTTAATAAAGTTCTGAGTTCCTGAATGTGAAAATCCCATGAAACCTATGCTGCAGAGGAAAAATACAAAATCTGGAAGAAAAGCAGAGGTCCTGTTTCAAATGGAAAAAATAATTTTTTCAATTCAAACCATACCAGCAAGTACTGCAATGCATTAAGAACAGAACTGTAGAGTTGGATAGCCAGGGCACAACACATGCATTTTGGAGGTCCTCACCTCGACTAGTCCTAAATCGGTGCCATATGTAGATCGAGCACTACATGCTCAAGTACATACACTGCACTCCTGTAGCACATTTTTCAATTTAGTTTTATCCAAAAGGAATATGACTTGTGTACTCCAAGACCATTCAGTGATGTGAACCAAAGCATGAAAAGTGCACATGTTGCATAAATTCATTTAAAAGCAGAATCCTGATCCAAATTTTAAAAAATTAAATCCAACCTAACACACACACAGAGCTATGGTCTAAAAATTTTAACCAATGATCAAGAGGGTGTTGTTACAGACTGAATTACTAAAAGCAGCATATATTTTTCTTTTTGGGGAAAATCACATCACTTTTTTCTTTTTCTACACATTTGTGACAAATATGAACTGTGGAATGAGCAAGCACAAACTAGTCCAATATTTTAGACAGCAGGATAAAATGGATTGCTGAAAATGAGACTTGACATTTATTCATTTAGGCTAATGTAAATGTGAATGTTAAATGTCTGCAAATGTGTATTCTAAGAAAGTGGTAGATAGCTGTTAAATAGCCAAACATTATAATTTTCATTTTTAACATAAACTTCTAAGAAGAAACTTTCATAATGCTGCTCCCAGAAACTGAGTTCAGGACACAAACTGTACTTAAAAACCTTTTGTTTGACAGGAGGTTTCAGATGCAGGTAATGCTGCTGACAAAATATTCAGGATAAACCAATACAGGCCATGGTCTGATGTGTGATCTAAGCTGAGTTTACACAAACAAATACAAAACACTCAGCTGTGGCTCCACTGGGAGTTGTATTTTTCCTGTTAACTTCACCTCAACTCTACCTCCAGCTTGTGTTGAACATGTAGTTACGAACAGAAGCTTGACTTGTATACTCCAGTCAATACATTTGAGTATTTTTTGTTATACATGCTCAAATCAAACAGAAAATCCTTGTGGTACGTAAGATTATGTTGAAAACCAGCAACTTTTCAATAAACTGTCTTGTTAGTGTCACATTTACCATGAATAGAATAAAGAACAATACACTTTAGAATTAAATTTCAAAGTAGCATGCTCAGCGAAAAAAATAAATCTTCTTTAAAATTTGTAGTTCACGATATGTCAGTAGTCACTGTAAATTGTGCCACCTGAACACATTCTAAGCTGAAGCTGTGCTTTCAGAAATCCTTATAGAAAGCAAAAGATTTCTATCCTTGTCTTTCTTAGCGCAACACACACACAAGTACCCATCTAAAAAAGTCAATAAAATATACATTTTGGTTTTCATTCAAGCAAAGGCAGACTCAAGCCAGCCCTGAAAACACCTGATTTGGGTTTTTTTGTGAGCTTACCAGTGTTATCTGAGAGGAAATTAGAAACATTTCACACTGGAGTTCAGCATTACTTTTTTAAGTGAAAAAATTGCATGCTTCAGAAATACTTTGATAGCGTAGCAGATGATTAAATAGGCAAAATTGTGCAGAAGTAAACAACCAAACCAGAAACATTTCAAGAAACTAATTTTCCACCACAATGCATTTTTTCAGAGAGTTTCATCTAGTATTTTTTCTAATTTCTTTTCTATGTCCATTGAAAGTCAATATTAAATATTTCAGGACTGGACAACTACCAATCTGACTTTCACTTAAAAAACACACTGCAAACTAGATTCACTTGAGTGATGTGCCATGTGTAACTGAGGCATTGCAGTGTATTTAACCTAGACAAATTCAACACACTTCTCAGTCTTACAATACAGAAATAATACTTTGAGGTGTCTTAACTGTAGAGACCTACATATTCTTCACAGCATGATAGCTAACAATAACAAAGATGGAAATGATCTTCAAAAATACACATCTGAATTGAATACAATGTTATATACTTCATTAGTAAACCACCAATAATCATCTAGTCTGCAATTTCAAACCTCAAATGAACAACATAGTGAAACAGCTTTTCCAGAACTATCAGAAGCATCACGCATTTCATGCACCAGAATTTTGGATTAGCATCAGACCTCAGCTCTGATCTTTTTTTTTTTCAAACCCAGAAGTTTAGGGGGAAAAAACCATAGGATTCATCCAACCAGTAAATCCATCTAAAACTGAGCAATGGCTCAGTCAAGGCAAGTTTTCTTTTGTAAACAGTAAAGAAAAATAAACACATTCAATCCAGGTGAGTGTTAATCACCCTTCTCACCTACGTCCTTCATCAAGTATAGAGGCAAGATGCCAAATTTAACTTGGGAAAGATGAATCCCCCCCTTAGAGCTGCAAAGTAACTTGAATAAGTAATTTGATGGTAGACACCAGCTTTGAACTGTTTTTCCAGGAAATTCTTTTATCCAGTAAGTTTTACTTTGTGATTTTCATGTGACCTTTTTTTTATGTGTCTCTCAAAAACCCCAAACCAAGCTTAATTTTCAGTGCCTTTTTCAACCCAGCTGAACTGAATAAACCTTGCCTGTAAAGCACTATATTGTAACATACAATAATATTTTTATTATAATGATTGATGAAATAAAGAAGTTTGACCAGCAAACTGAAGCGAATTATTTTGTTCTGAGGCCTTTAATTAGCGTTTCAAATGAACAATAACAATATTAAAATGCTTTTCTCTGGTCTAATAGCTTTAAGTTCTTAAAATGCTTTACAACTATTCATTCATAAAATATGCAAAACCTCTGGAAGGCAACACATGTTATACCAGTGAAGAAGAGATCTAAGTATCCAGATTGATCATTTATGTTATTTCATGCTAAAGATAATGATGTTCCATTGATTACAATTATCTGCTTAAAATAAAATCTTACTAAGAATCTGTGCCAGCTGTAGATTTCTCCATTAATATTTCACTTAGTTTCATTTTGCCCTCTATTAGCACGGCATGATATTCCATGATTGAATTTGCAGTGGTTTTGCAAATTCCAAAAGCAACCTCATCTCCAAGCCTACAAAATAAAACTTGACTCAGATGAAAACCTACTTAGTTCAATATCAAGACTATACGAAATGTTCCTTGAGCTCGTAATTCCATTATCATAATTGTTATCTACATATACCAAAGCTCCTAGGATCCTTAAAGTCAAGATTCAGCACAGTGTTTTAGCTGCTTCCTGGAACAGAACAAAAGTAGTTATTTTATCGAAAAACAGAAAGCTGCTGCCATGTTGTCAGCATTTTCCATGCCTCTAATTCAGAAAATTCCTCGTCCACACATATGTTCATTGACTGGAAAGGACAGCTAGGAGTTCTGCCAAAAAAAACCCCACAATCTTCCTCAGAGCTATGCAGTGAACCAGAAAAAATGCTTTTTAGGCTTTTATGAAAGAGCTACCAAAATTTCTCCTTAAAATCCACATGACCTTCTTGAGAACATGAATGCTATATTACGTGATATCAGAAGTGAAGAATGACCATGTGAACATATACCAGCAGTAAAAAGCAAGGAAAGGAAAACACAAAATCTAATGTAATCATTAACTATTTACTTTTAGTCAACAGTTAATGTTATTTTTATCAATTAAGTCTTAGAGAATAGTAAAGATTCAAGTATTTCAGACTGACTGGTATGTGATCTGAAAGAAAGTTTATAATTGCTTAACTGACTCTTCACAATAATCATTAGTTAGTAACCCCTTCAAATTATTTATTTTGCATCATATAGAGGAGTAATCTAATGTGATCTAATAATCTGTCTCTATGAAAAAGGTTGAGTAAAAGTACAACAAAAGAACCTTCAAAACTCTTCATGAAATGGAATTAACAGCATGTGAAACTTAAATATTCCATTACTCAACCTTTTTCCTAGAATATAAATTTTACATTTTCAGTTCAGGACATTGGTGTCCCAGTGTGTGGTTATTCATCTGGCATGTCTGGTTATTCATCTTACAAGAGTTAAAGGTATGAAGAATTAATTTGCCTAGATCTAGACAGAAAACAAGGCCTCCCTTTTCACAGTGGATAGAACAGAAACCAAGGTATTATAAATATGGAAGAACATGATAAAAATCTGAATAAGTGCAGAGCAAAACAGCAGGTGGGGATAAAAGGAATAGACATGGAATAGCAGTGACATGGAAAAATGTAGGGGGGGAAAGAGAAAAATGTTGAAACCTAAATTTTAAAATATAATAATATAAATCAACACATTGGCAGCAACTTCATAGATCAACTTGTTAGCATTTGATGCCATAATATCTTCAAGGCCATGCTCTCATAAAGTTTATTAGCTATGAGTAATCCCACTACATTCTGAATAAAGAAAATATAATGAGAATTTTTTTTCTTTCATCTAATTATTGCATATATTTTCAAGATTTTATATCCTCTTTTTGGCAATACTTTGCTCTTTCTTACTAATATTTCCTTGGATTAGTTTACATGCACAGTCAAACTTTATACTCATTCTGAGTGTAAAGGACACAGGACACAGGTCAGTCATATTTCTAAGTTGAATTAATAGTGTTAACAATGCTTGCCAGCAGACTTGCTCCTCTGCTAACAACATCCATCATGTGCCATTTGAAGCTCGCCTCACTATCTCAGTTCCTCATGCAACTGGAGAAGGCTGGTAGTAAGGGATGACAGCAGAATGCCTGGGCAACTGGAAATCCCCCTTCCTCTGCAGCCATGCTGGAGACTGAGGACAGTAAACACAGTGGGGTCATGTATGCTGG